TCTCTCTCTATATCTCTCTCTCTCTCTCTATATCTCTCTCTATATCTATCTATCTCTCTATATCTATCTCTCTCTCTCTCTATATATATATATCTCTCTCTATATCTCTCTCTCTCTATCTATATATCTATCTCTATATACAGTATATATATCTCTCTCTATATCTATCTATATCTATCTCTCTCTATATCTCTCTCTCTCTCTCTCTCTCTATATCTCTCTCTCTCTCTCTCTATATCTATCTCTATATACAGTATATATATCTCTCTCTATATCTATCTATCTCTATATCTATCTCTCTCTCTATATATATCTATCTATCATGTTACATAGTATTTGAGGTTGAATAAAGACACAAGTCCATCAAGTCCAACCTATTGTATGTCTGTGTGTGATTTTGCAGGCGTGTGCGTGTGTATGAGTCCCTGTGTGATCTTGTTCTTAGGAGTACCTGTCCCCCTGTATCTTGCGGTCTATAAGGAAATCGTCCAAAAACTTTTTGAATGATTCCACACTCTCAGTTGAAATCAGTGGCAGTGTTATATATCTTCTGTTATAAGACATCCCTGAGCTCCGCACTGATTCGGTTGGATGGATCCCTGATCCCTTCGGTCTCACCATAACCCGTATGATCGTCTAGATTTCGTCCAGATCTCTCGCACCTACAAGACACAATCGCGTCCCTTACCTCGCTCCCGGTCCTTCCGCTTGTGAGTCAGTCCAGAAATGAGAGCTGTAATATTTTCCAGGACACAAGTCGTTCTCGGCGAAGGTCACGTGACTCGTCACAGCGGAACGTCCTGGTGCTCACAGCCGTCGCTACGGCCTATGTGTGCATCATCGGAGCTGTGTGGTTCGAGGGCCGGTATTGAGGAGGTGACCCGCGCTGGGATCCCACTGTAGACAGTCCGCCCCGATGGAAACAGAAAGGGAGAGAAAAGCCCCTGGAGCATGAAACACATGAGACGGGTGAGGTCATAGGTAACAGTGTTAAACCAGTTTAACAGGAAGTATACATGACGAACGCCTGCTGAAGGGAAAGGGGGGGCACTGTGCACGGGCAGGCGGGCCGTGACGCTGTCTACACACCCAAAACAACCTTCCCTGCATGGAGGAAGTGCAGACATTTGTTTACTAGCTGGCCCAGCTGTCATGCTGATCCAGTGGCTTCAGTACCTTCTAAGCTGCTGACTCAAAGCAAGCTTGCAGAGTAGGAGCTCTGACTCCAGTGGATCTAGCATCAGATATCATTTTCTATGTCAAGTTCGTACATGCTGAGTAACGTGTCCGTGTAACACTCCCAGGTATGTATTATCTCCCACAGAGATCACAGCAAACCCCCTGACAATGCCTTCGTCCGCTTTTCTCTCCAGCAGGAGGGCGCCATCTTTGTTCAGGCATCATCCAGGGTCACCATCTACTTCCTGGACTCCGGCTCAGAGGTGACACAATCATGTAAATCCTGGTGCCCGTGCAGTTCTTGGCTGTGCTCACAAATGTTTGATACAGATCGGCCCCTGCTGCAGGCTCTCACCTTGTGACTTGCTACAAGGGTACGTTGTTGCCGTCTGATCACTGGGGGAGGAGACTGAGGAAATGCTTCCTCCTTGCTACAAAGTTACCATGGGGAGAAGAGACTGAGGAAATGCTTCC